TGTTGAGCAATACAATCCCGTTGTGTTTACATCGCAAAGGAAAGTGATCGACTATACAACTATTTTAACACGCAAAAAGATAGTTATCGAGATGCTGCTATACATATTAGAGCAAATTCCGAGCATACGGACTTAAAGGGAATTCACGGGATCATGGTTGTTATCGTATGTACGAGAAATGTAACCCGATGCGCTTAGACGGAATACATGTAATTCCAATAACGTGTCAGTCAGTGAGAAGATGGTATGGGTAATGTTGGAAGAAACTGCCAGTGGTGAGCAAACGTACAACATAGCCAGACCTGCAACCGGTCAGAATTTTACGAGTTCTCCAGCTCTTGTCACTCAGGGGGCGACATCATTCTCACTCTCAAGGATAATGTTTATAAATCAACCGTGCGTTCAGCCTGCCCGTACAGTTGAGAAATCTGGCTCATCAGAGCGATATACAAAGCGAGACAAATTACGTTACCTCACGACTGGTGGGAATATCGCGTGAACAACGACTGTGTTCGGCGTCGCGTATTTATTACAAGAAGAGTGAGTTAACCGCTCTACACCGTTAGGTAAGGCACCAGGCTCCGATGACGGGGTCATGTATTGCGTATGTCGGCACACCGATTATTGCTGTATGCGTTTTTGAACGACCGGCACATACAAGTGCGTGGTCGGAGTCCACGCTCGTGCTCCAAATCAAGCGACATTTTTGGACACAACCTCTCCAACAGTAACTGATCGCGATGTCATCGATCTGTGTCCATGGGTGGTTCAAGGCTGATGGGTGCCATATCACCCTCCGGTGGGTGCTGCGTCGGAAATTAGCGCTCCCTAGAAGTAGACGAACATCTTCACACAGAGGTAGCAACTGCTCACCGTTATCATCACGGGAGTCTACACCATGTTGGCCGTCCAGATACAGCCCATCAGTGGACAAATTTCCAACTTAAGCGTTCAGATCACTAGCAAGCACTACCGTATCCGTACTGCTGCTGTAACGAATGAGCCCGTCCAGTTGATGATAGAAGTTTCCTTTCATCGAGTCTGAACTGTAGTTTGTGGTGGGCGTAGGCAGCGACGACTAATGGGCACCTATTGACCCACAAGCCAGCCAGTCGGATGACACATATCCAGCTACTGATTGGGACCCCATCAATCAGGGCGGCTTCAAGACATTGGCCATACCGGCTTGACCGGTATTCGAAGCTGCATTGTCTCTGGACAGATGCAAGGAGAAAGTGCCACCAATGACACAGGAAGGCGCTCGTAAAGTGGGCACATAGCTCGAGTCTTGTAGGCGGGTTTCAGATAAGAAGCAGACTTACGACCGAGTGATCGACTACATTGATTGTGAGGAAAAGAAATAAAGTGCCTGGCTTCCACGGCTTGCAACGAACGCTAACCATTTCAAATGGTGAAGATATGGCCCGGTGAGCTGGCCTTTGATGAGAATCACGGGTGCGGAGTAGAGGACAAATGATCTGAGTACAATGGGAAGGAACTCAAATTGCTCCACACCATTTTATGGGTACGGCCTCCTGTCTTAACACAAGAATCGTTTGCATCTGACACGAAAGAAGATAACATGGGCTATTTAGCGAACGATGGCCTCCGACAGATTGCGGATCGTCTTTTAGATAGCGCACATGACACTACGTGTGTTTGATGGACGAAATTTCAGCTGGCAAGTGAACAAAGGGCCACCATACGCTGTGCATCAGGATGCTGGCCAAGTTCATTAAAACATAAGGATATAGGCATCGACATGGTAACCACAGGAATGCTTATGAGGAACGTCGCGAATACCGCGTGAAGGTCACGGTCTCGAGTGTCAACCACCCACACCGAAAAGCAGACAATGAATTACTGCCAGAAGCAAACTACTTTTACTAAACATGGGTAACGAGATTATCGTGAATTTGATTAGGCTCATCAAGGTCCCACTCCTGCGCTGAACCTTGGCAGAGATCACCTAGAAGGCGACCAGAAATTTAAGCATCGGGTCAGTTATGTTAGCGCCAACGGGATTGAAGATGAGATCACCAACAGTATAGTGAAAGCTCGAGGTACTTTTGCCAATCTCCACCACTTGTGGCGCCAAAGTAACACCACTCTCGCTTTGAAGGGCAGTGTTTAAAATGCAGTGGCCCGTTCAAACCTTCTGTACGGTTGCGAAATCTGGCATATAAAGTCGACAGATATAAAGAGACTTGTTATGTTCGACCATCGCGGCCTTCCCAGCTTAGCTCATGTCTGGTGGGAACACTGCGTGAGCAATCGGCGTGTTCGGCGTCGTGTAATTGGTGCAGGAACAGCGAGCGAACTGCTCAGCACCGTTATAACAAGCACCAGGCGCCGACCGCAGGGCCACGTGTTGTGCATACCATCACATCAACTCCTGCGACGTGCATTGTTTGCGTACCAGGTTGTGGATGGAAGAAGAGGACGGGAGACCAAGCGATGACTTGCTTGAGAGGAATGAAGTCCATCATTTAGAATTTGGCGTCGGTTGGTGTACCCCGACTGTGTGGCTTGGGGGACCGAAGGATGAGAAACATGTATGGTTGGACACATTGGTTGACATGGCGAAGGTCGACCTGTGACGCCTGTGTTGTGAGTCTCGTTGTCCCTCCCATTCCCCTTAGCTTCCCCCTCCAACATCGATCTCGACCCAACACATAATGTGAGTTTAGCATTATGTCGCTTTTTTAGCTTTCGCCTGTAATGTTTAATCGTTTAGCATTTTTGTATTGCAGCAAATTAGCTGAACTGTGTGCTTCTCACCTTCGGTTAACGCGTAGTGATGATGATGATGATGACTAGGCTTATCACAGTTGCTTAACAACTGAACGCTTGTGTGGCATATTTGTTTTCGGATGATCATTGACCATGAAAATCAGAGGAAAGCATGGCAGACATATAAGTGAGACAGTCAAGTCTACGAAAACAATCCAAGCAAACAAGACGATCGAGGGTGTAGCAAGGTTGCAAGGGGCCGACTTATAAAGCTTATAGGGTTCGGGTCTCTTTGGGTCTGGCCCAGTTCCCATGTAAGCGTCACAAGCTTCGACAGATGCATCGAAACATAGTAGTACGAGGGAATAAATGTAGGATTGAGTGGTAAGACCACAGAGTAACCAATTGAAATGATATAGTGTGCGCATCTGGACAGCCACATCATTTATTCATCACTATGCACACGTTAGCTAGAGGTGGGAAAAGTCAGAGGTAATGTGACGCAATGCAATTTAATTAGATAGTGGCAATAATAAGTAGAGAGAAAAAGTACAACAAGGAATAATAGTAAAATCGAAATTATATTATGCGTCGAGAATGAGAGTACGGTTGGAGGAGGTGGGGTTAGGCGGGAAGTAAACGGATATAGGAAAGTAAAGTAAAAAGTAAATCGCCAGCTGTACGCCGTAACGGCGCTTCGCTGCCACGCGACCACCACCAGTCGCGCGTGGACTGAGTATACCGCGAGGACGCCCGCCCCTACGGGGATTCGAACCGGTGACCTTGTGGTTGTAAACCAGACGCGCATACCGCTCGGCCACCGGCCACTGTGGTCGACACTGTCATGCCAACTAGTGCATCCAACCAGACGTGATCATCGTCCTTCGGACCACAGCCGGCAGACACCAACGGACACCAACCTCGAAGTGAAGGCTTTCTACCGTCACAACTAAATCATCGATTGCTCTCCCCTTCTCTTCTACCATCCACACCCAGGTCGCGCAAACAACGCACTTCGCGGGTGCCTGTGTGCTGGCATGCGCAGCACGTGGTCCATCCATCGGAACATGGTTCGTGTAATAACGGTGCTGAGCAGTTCAATCACTTTTCCTGTGCCATAAACAAGGCACCGAAGACGCTCATTGCTCATGCATCATCCCCGCCAGATGTGAGCCAAACTGCGAAGACAATGATGATCAAACACAAGCAGCCTCTTTACGTCAGCCGGTTTGATGAGCCAGGTTTCATAGCCGCACAAGAGAGCTGAACGGACGACTTCATTGCAGACTATGCTATTCAGGGTGAGTGATGTAGCGCGGGCATCGCAAGTTGTGAAGATTAGCATAAACTCGAAGCGTCGTTGCTATAGGTACTCGATCTCAGTATCTATCCGACATGACTGATCCATCTGCCCATGTGGCTGAGTTGCTGAATGTCTTCCAGATGATTCATACCAAGGATTAGCGGGGGAGAGGATCCCTGTCAATCTTGGAGGACGAAAAGCATAGCCCGTTCCAATCCACCCAGTGCTGTTTGGCACGTTTGTGAACTGTCCCAGGTTCGGACAATATCGCTCAAGTTAAAACAGCTCCACACTTGGTAAGACTTACCCATTGAACGCAGTTTTCGTGAATTCGTCAATGGTGAAGTTAAAAATGATGTTCGCAATAATGGGAACTGCTCGTAGAAAGTGAATGTAATAAAGGTTGATCAGGAAAGAACTGAAGTCTTGACAATGCGGAGACTGACTTAATCACGCGTACTGGCACGCATGCGAGTGTCTGAGCCTTAGGTGGTGTCGATAGGTCATGGGGTGTTCGGCTCCTGATGCAGCCAAGAATACGCACTCCCAACGTGGCCCAATACGACGAAGAGGCAGTTTAGTGCATTTCCGGAAGTGTGGGAGATGGTCTGACTTAGAACTGTGGCGAAGAACAGCACAGAGCATGGTTTTGTTGATGAAGCGAACATCACCAGAGGGTCCATCGTCAAATATCAACGAGCAGGCATTCATTGTGCAAGCGATGGTAGGCAAGTATCGGTGATGGTTAAATATGACCAGGTAGACTGGTCGTAGGGAGAGAAAAAACAAGTGAAAAGCTATGGCGTAACCTCCATGTTGCCATTGGTTGAAAAAAACGCGCTAAACGAATCGGTATGCCAAAAGTAATCATAATTCTACTGTGCTGAACATGACATTGCCGGTCAACGTGGCGTAACAAAAAGGAGGACCAAGGATAAACACCAGACACCACAATGATACGTACTTGGACACCATTGAATCGAAAACCGCGATGGGGACCCAACATGAAAACATGCGGATATTGTTGCGTCGATGTGGCCGTGATATTCCAGACTTCTTTCCAAGAAGAGTAGAGCGCATTCAGAACGGGGTATATCCCCGAATGATAGGGAGTCACAGCGTAGGAATAACGAACGGGAATATCGTATTTCTAAGGTTGAAAGAAATGGATGTCGGAATTAGAACGCAGAAATAATACGATAAAAGGTAAATGGAACTTAAGAATGAGAAAAGCGGCGGTTCGGTCCATCACCGCATCGAAATAAAGGCAGCCAAAAGGTTTTTGCAACTTTGGGAAAATACGTGAAAGTTAAAAACTATGTATATCCAATCCAGCGGAAGTTTTTCGACAACTCATCAGGCTAATACAATACGAAAATGGTTACAACATAGCAATAGGTGAAAAAGACTAGGCTAGAGTTGGTCAAATCATTGGGTCTCCTACAGCCACTTCATCGAAGCAGTAAGAATACATACGTTGCGATACATCAACATTTCGGTGATTCTCCTCAGCCGCAAACACAATGTAAGCAGAACTGATAC